AAGTGATAAATTCTTTATTGAATAATTCATCACTCCTTGAGTTATTTCTGGTTGAAATATATATGATCTCACACATGTGCCATGAGGCACACTATTACTTGAACTACTACTTAATGGTACCTATGCTTGATCCCCATAAATATTTTTATAAATCTGATGTACAGTCTTTCTCAGTACGTGGATTAATTTCTATTAAATTCAGAGCACACCTGTGAAATGAATTCAGTTTGTTTTCTCAGTGCACAAATGCTCATTATCTGAAGGCTGTTCACCACCACAAGGAGCTGGTGTGGATAGAGCCCTTTCTGGACTGACAGATTCAGGGTCCCCTCCTTCGAGAGGTGTCTGTGTGCAGAGGCCAGGGCTCTCCTGAGAGCAGTGGTGACCACACTGGTTTGAAGCTGTTGTGCTCAGCAGCACATCAGAAGGCCGCAGGCTAGGAGAACTCAAAGGTCGCATCTGACCTCGGGATGCTTCAGCATCCAAGAGTCACTAAAGAGTGTTCACCACCCTTTGGGGTCACCCAGGGTAAAAGAATGTTTCTTGGATTTTGTCCTTGAGAACTGTGTGTCATGCCTTGGGAGGGAAACCATACCGGGAACTGGTACATGGAGAGCACACAGGTCCATTGGAGTTTTCAGGGAGAGGCTAATCATCCTTCTCAGACTTAAAAAAATTTACACCTAAGATCCAGGATTTAGAGGCCTATGCCCACAGATTTCTAACTACTTTCTTACCAGGTGGCTTCCATGAGGTGTGTTTACAAGCAGAAAGGACCTGCAGGGGCTCAAAGAGGCTGCCCCTGAGCTGTGAGCTCACTGCCCATCCCGAGGCTGAGCACACAGGAACACAGGAGTCATAAACTAAGTGGCCACAGTCCACTCACCTCTCACTATGGCTCAAAAGATTGCTGGGAGCTGAAGGAGGGGAAGTTAAGACCCAATATTTATCCTACGAAGAATCGTATCTCTCCACAATGACACGTGCAAGCAGGGCAGTGTGAGAAGCACTAACACTGGGAAATGAGGCAGGTATCTCTGGGTATTTAGATTGGAAATATGTCACTGCCAAGTCCATGTTTAAGCTAACTGAACACTGTTGTCTGAATGATCAATTATATGCATTATCTACGCTTCACGTTGCAAGCTTTGCACTGACAGGTGTCTTCTTGACTCTTATTGGTCAGTTGCAGACTCAGGAAAGCTGTTGTCTCCGTACCTCCGTTCCTCTTGTCTAAAGCACATAACTCCACCTGCCTCCCCCCTACTTCAAAGAAGTGTGGGAGGGGAATGGATAGTATGTGTAGGATGCTGGGCACTATCTGGAGATTAGTGCTGCATGTGAGTCAGGAAGGGCTGCCACCAGTCTGGGTGCAAGAGGGAGCCAACATAAACACTGCTTCCTAAAAAGGGACCACAGTCAACTGTGCTCATTGGCTGCATCACTGGCTGAATGGTTTATAAACACTGGACTGTCAAGAATTCAATGTCAACTTCGATGTCAGAACCCAAAGTCAGTGTGGCTCTACTGCAGGTCAAAGCTCAAGTTCTCTGCAACAAATAAATGCTGCATATTCCCTCTAAGAAGCCCTCCCTGCACAGACAAGCTTCTCTTGCGTTGTGCTGATTTTAGCTGTATCACCAGCTAATGAGATCCTCAAGGTTGAAAACATCTGGTGAAAAAGAATGCTTAAAGCTGAGCAGGTCCCCGGGGTCCTCTGGGGGCAGCAATGGGTCACAGCCAGGCGTGAGGCAGCAGAAGTACCTGCAACAGGATGCCACAGTGATGACACAGAGATGTCCTGTGACATGTCCCAAGACTAGACTGTGACGCCAGTGCCATGACCTGAAGTTAAGGTTCCGTGGATCGCTTGTGGGAGAGACTGTGTTTATAGTAAGAGACAAGCGGAATCTCCCCGCCTGTGTATCTTTACCCCTCTCTTCCATAAAGGACGGCTGAAGGGCATGGAGATACTCCACAGTAGCTGAAGAGTGGTTAAAATATTACTGAAAACCTGGCTTCTATTTTTTTTTGCATATTTTTTGTGTGTGCGTGCAAAATCCAAGGATTATTCCTTAAGTACTTGGCATGTGTCAGGTACTTACCAGGTACCGTAGGCTACAGGATGTGTAAGCTAGAGCCCCTACCCTTATAGAGAGCACAGTCTATCAGGAGGCTAGAAAGCACACAAGTCTCCGTTAGGTTGAAACAAATGGCGATGACATTACGGTTCAAAGTAGTCAAAGATAGGACATTTCATATTCAACTCTAATACTTGTTGGAATAAAATAAGAGCCATGAGAAAATACAAATAAACACCCCGGGGCCAGACACTATTCTAATTACTGTAAACATATCAACCCCTGTAACTTCACAGCAGCTGTATGAGTTAGGTACTATTAGCTTCTCTACTTTAGAGATAAAAAAGCAAAACTGAGGTACAGAGAGGTTATGAAGCTCAGGTAGGATCACACAGGCATTTGCAGCAGATCTGGGATGGGAGCCAAGCTGTCCTGCTCCAGAGGCCGAGCCCTTCCGGAGCTGTGTGCACACCTCTCTCCTCGGGAGGGAGAAAGGAAGGATTTCGGAGACTCCAGGATGGAAGCCCGCACTCTCCTGGGGGAACTGGATACAGTGATATTTGAAAAATGCCTCAAAGATGAAATCCAATAAGGACTTTTCCCGACTGGGAGGCAAGAAGAGGGAATCCTGGCGAAGGAGTTGTTCTGAGTGGATATAATGAAGCAGGAGCGCAGGGAGTGCAGGCGTGGTACACACAGCACACGGGGGAGATGGGGCTGGGAAAGCGCTCAGGATCCATGCTGTGCACGTTCCTGAAGGCCGGGGAGGTGGGTTTGTTCATAATTTATCCCTGGATCAGAGATGGGCAGAAGAATGACTGGGAAGCAGGGAGGAGAATGGCTTGGAACAGGGGAAAATGGGAGGGAGGGAAGAAAATTAGGAGGCAGGAACAGGAGTCCAGCTAAGAAAGTACACAGGCCCAGGCAAGCACGATGATGGTTACTGCATTAAATTTTTTGATGGTTACTGTATTAAATTTTTGTTTCATAGCAGTGTTTTTCTAATTAAAAAGTAGCTCATGATCGTGAAGGAAGTTGTTTGTGCACTTGTAAAAATGCCAGCCATTCACTTCCTGTGCCCATCGAATGTGGCATCTTCTGGAATCCTTTCAAAACTCAGCTCTGACCTCAGTCATTGACATTTATGTTCACAATGTCTGTTTTCACAAAATCTTGGACTAATTTAGGCTCCAAATGCCAGCCAATGAAACTTCAATTTTCCTCCAGTAAAATATTCATTTTATTTTGAGGTAAAAATGCCACTGATGACAACATTTACACTTTCAGAGTGATATGCACTAAATTCACTGAAAAGGAATGACTTTCCATAATGGGAGGGAAACATCCTCAGAAAGATATGCAACGATCTAAAGTTTTCTCTGTCTATATGTTTAATAAGTCACGTATTTGGCCCAAATCATCATCAAATCCGTTGCCAATAATCAACTCAGAAATAAAATTATTGGAAAACGCAAAGAACATGGAACAGCAGGACTCTGAGGCATCTGCCTTCCTCAGAAATATTAGAAATGTTTTGCTTTTCTCTAGAAGATTCCAGCCATCCTCATCACTCTCCCTAGCACAAAAAGAGCTTTCTTTGCAGTAAGTTTGTACCATTGCTTCTTTAAGAATGACAGAGATGCCTGTGTATCTCTTTAAAGTCCAGGGATGGGGAATGTCTGGCCCTCTGGCCCTATGGTCTGGCGCTGCCAAGGCAACCGCAGGGGGGACTCGAAATTCAATAAATCTAGGAGCTTATCTCATAGCTAGTTTTTAAGCTGATAATTTTGTATGGCTCACAAATGATGTAAATACCCAAACGGCCCTTGGCAGAAACAAGGTTCCCCATCCCTGCAATTGTAAACTCCCTCAAGAACCTTCTTATCCTGACCATGTGCTTGCTCATATATGTGCCTTCGCATAGGTGGGATATGCAGCCACAGTGTGCGTGGGCTGGAAAGTCCTCATGGGACTTTTAAAAATAGCACATTCTTTCCAGAAAATATTCCTTAAGAATGTGCTCTGTGATACAGTGACAGTGTCCACAGTGACACAGTGAGGGGATGTGAGCAATAGCGTCTGTTGCATCTCAGCGAGGTGCTCGAATGATCAAGACTACCACGTGTCCTAGCAGTTGCCCTGGGGAAGGTGCCCCTGATACAGACATACCTACCGACAGGGGTTACTCTACCCAATCGATCCTGGAACAGAGGGCAGGAAACTTTTGGTAAGAAGGACACGATTTTTCCTTGTGTAGGGAGGTCAGTGTCTGGGTGATACACCAAGGACAGGAGAATTAGCTTGTGTTCTTGCTTATCCCAAAGAGGAAGTTAACATTCGCCACACCCACAGGCTGGAGCCGAGTGAGCCTCAATGCTGAGGCTCCTCTGACCCTGGGACTTGACAAAGACAGTGGCTTGGGAACCACACTGCCGCTTTGGGGGACCCTGAAGGGCAGTGCGTAAGGTTTGTGCTGGGGAGGGCTCCGGTGTGGGGTGGGTCACACACCGTTAGTAAAACATCCTTCCCGGGCTCCTCCTCACTTCCTTATACAAAGTAACGCTAAGTCTGCTCGGTGAAGAGCGTGGAAGGCACCAGCTGGGAGAAGCCAGATGCAACTGAACCAGCACCCACCCCGTTAGCCCCTCGGGTTCGCCTGGGAGCAGATCCACTCGGCAGACGCTCTAACGGGCTGTGCGGCGTGTGGTCTGTGTGGGCCAGTTAGAGGAATGAAGCAGCCTCACAGGGAAGCTGAAAGAGACCTTCCGAAAAAGAACCGTTTAGTTGGCCTGTGCAATTCCCATCACTCATCCATGCAGTCACTGTATCTCAGATAAAATAGGGAAAGGACAGTAGCCTGAATTACAGTAAAACACAGACAATCTCTCAGGAGGCGGGGAGAGGGATTACAGTTCTTACTTGTCGCTGGGCCAGGATGAACTCTCTGTAGGTTCTGGGATGCTTGGTCGAGGGCAGCTGGTATGGCTGGAACAGAAAGAGAAGAAGACCATCAGTCGCCCCTGCCTGATGTGACCCTGTTTCCATCTCACTTTCAAATGACAAAAGGTGACATGGACAACCTCACAATAATTGCCTCTTTTTCCTTCTTTCTTTTAAAATTAAAATGGCACCTGCCCTCTAAAATAAAAAAACACCTCATAAATATCAGAGCAAATGGAAACATTCCGGTCTTAGTCACCTCTAGACAGAGTCAGGAACAATGAACAGATGTTGTCCCGTATCATTCGAGTCCAATTTTGAGTCTTGCTTATGAAAATGAAGCATATCAATTCTTATTTTTTTTAAAAAGTTCCTTCAAAAACTTTATTCTTAGCCATAAATACGCAAGCAATCCCGGGAGCAGGGAAGGAATGAGGGGAAGCAAAAAGTTGGACGAGAGACACAGAACTTTATAATGTGAGATGGCCAATGAGTCATCTATTATATAAGCAGATATAATTTTATTGATACCAGTATTTGGTTGCTCTCAAAACAGGAAAGATGGAAAGTGATCAGGGTGGTTGTCACTGGACTGCCTGCTGAACTGGGTTGCTCTGCAAGCATCTCAGCTACAAAGCACGCAACTGTCACCTGGTGAGGAAGGGGGTTTCTCCAGATGCCTCCCCCTGGGTCACGTTATCTATGGGTTATTCTTAACCCAGCAAACACCGAGCTTCACCTCACAGCAGTGAAACGACGTGCTTTTGGTCCTTAACAGAAACCGACAGTAACAATGCTAAGAAATCTTTCTCTAACATGAAAAATGGAGGGCGGAGACAATGAAGAGGCCTGGGTCGTGGGCGAACCCACCCCAACCCCTGACTCCAGAGCTGGAGGGATCCTGCCCACCCGCCCTGATCCATGTTTCTTTGTTTTTAAACCCTTACTCAAGGATATTTTTTCCATTGCCTTTCAGAGAAAG